AGAGAGAGAGAGAGAGAGAGAGAGAGAGAGAGAGAGAGAGAGAGAGAAAGCGCGCTAGCCCTGTAACCAGAACCTTCAAAGGCCTGCCTGTAGTGGCTCAATTCCATGGACCAGGCCCTACTAAAAGTTTCGGTTTCCTGAAACAGTACCATTAACTGGGACAAGTGTTCAGAACATGAGATGTAGGGACATTTCTGCTGGGAACCATAAGAGCTGCTATTGTGTGTGCATGTGTGTGTGTGAGTGTGTTCCCAAGTAGTTGGGTTTATAAGTGCATCCTACCACTTATAGGCAAGCTCTTTGTGAAGTTTAACATTTGATTTTAATGGCACATCCTTTATAATTAAAAGTATGTAATTCTGAGGGGGAGGTTTTTGTGGCACATAATATTCACACCTCTTGAATTAATTGTTAGTTACCAAATAAAAAATGTACATAAAATGCAGGTACTTGCTAGTCACTTCAGGTGATGGTAGCCAAACTTAGTGAAAAACGAGTGGAAAACTGAGACCTTCACCTTTCCCCTTCATGGATGATGCACAGGACTGTATTTTAAAGGCACCTCCTCTGAGAACTGCCTGTGCCCATGCATTCTGCACAAACGCTGGCGGGTGACAGCCATGGCTTGTGACTCCCTGCCTAACTTTGCAGTCCTACAGCAGGTTTTAATGTGTCTGTAATTTTAAAAGTGTCTTAAAACTTTGACTTTTCAGGAATGGAATTATTTTAGGGAACTAAATTTTCTGATGAGCTGAAGATTTTTTGTTTGTAAATTTTAATTATCTTTTAAAAATTGTTTTGGGACTGGAGAAATGGCTTAGAGGTTAAGAGCACTGGCTGCTCTTCCAGAGGCTCACTTCTGAGATCCCACAGGACAGTTCACAGGAGGTTTGACGCCTTCTTCTGGCCTCTGAGGGGTCGAGGCATACATGAGGTCCAGAGTCATTCTAGCAGATAAAATACCCTTACACATAAAATAAAATGCAAAACAAACAATTGTTTTATTGATGCATATCCGTTGGAAGACTTATTTATTTCTTTTTAAATTTAATTTTATCTTATGTATATGGGTTTTTGTTCCGTTTGTATTTGTATGTACCATATGTAGATAGTGCCTACAAAGGCCACAGGAAGGTATAAGATCCCCTGGGGCTGGAGTTACAGACAGTTGTGAGCTGCCATGCAGATGCTCCGAATCAAACCCTGGTACTCTGGGAGAGGAGTCTGTGTTCTTAACTGTTGAGCCATCTCTCCAGGCTAAAGATTTATTGCTTAAGGCATAAATGTAAATTATTTTCATGAAACTTTCTGGCATTCTAAATATGTATTTTGAGACATATTTCACAGTTGCTGCAGTGTATGAAATGTTTGAAGAACCATGTCCATGTGTGGTGTATTTTATACTCCCTTTTCTTGATGAACCTTGTTCATGATACATGCCAGTTCTTAGCATTAGTACCACATGGACACCTTCAAAGCCTGGGACTGAATATAGGCCATATTGTTCTTTTCTTTTTCAATTGCCTCAGACTCTTTTTTTTTTAGGTTTAAGGTAATTTAAATTTATTTTTGGTACTTAACAAGTTGTTGGTTAGAGGTATGAAATGACTTCATAATAAGATATATAAAATCTAAACCCTGTAACACAGCCTAACACGGCATCAGCATGTGAACTGCCATGGCTTCCACATTTACCTTCTATTAGAACCTATCCATCTTATTCGTCTCCGGCACTCAAAACTGGAACGTAAGTGGCACTTACATTTGATGGTAGATTTTCCTTTTAAATTATCATCCTTAGTAAAATTTTAAGTAAATTGAAAAGAAGGCATGACTAAGAACAGTTGGCTTTTCTGTGGATTGATTCTTAAGACGTGTGTGTGTGTGTGTGTGTGTGTGTGTGTGTGTGTGTATGTCTGTGTCTGTGTCTGTGTGTCTGTGTGTGATGCCGCCTGTGAGTGACACCACAGAGAAGAGGAGGATGTCAGATTGTCTGGATCTGGAGTTAGGGTGGTTGTGAGTGTGGGTCTTGGGAACTGAGTCCAGAGCCTGTGCAATTGCAGCAAGCACTCTTAACTGTTGAGCTGTCTCTCTATCCAAATATTGAGTTTTTAGACATCTGTTTTGAATTACCACAAGTTATAATTAATTTCCATTTGAATTCTATGTAGACAAAATTGCCCATTGACTGCCACCTAATCACATTTTTGAGACTCAAAGTCTTTTAAGAAATTCCTTTTATTTCTTTAATATTCTTAACCATTGAATTTGATTCCAGGCTGTAAAGATAGTAGCTTTAATCACCAGCAAGTAATATCTGTTACCTGGCTAGATCAACACATGAAACAATGCCTGTGGCTGTACATGGGTAATAGGAGAGAACATATGTGGTTTTCAGTGTAGTTAACATATTATTGTTGTCCATGCTATTACGAAGAATTTTAAATTACTTGTCATGTGCTCAACAAAGAGCAACATTTTGAATACTTCCTACAGTTTTTTGTGTATGTGCCTATTTATTCATTTATCATTTCTAATGAATAACTTTGACAAAATGGAATACCATATATAAAATTTACAACATTTCTTATTGTTCCTGGTATCTTTCAAAATTAGAAGACATTAGTTATTTCTTTAAAATGTTTTTTAAAATGCCTGTACTATAGTTTACCAAATAGTAATGATGTTATATAATGTTGCCATTTTGAGTACCCTCTCATGTTGCCAGCTACTAAGTTTTTTGTGGCTTTTCAATATTACAAATAACATTTGTTGGATACTGTACTTAAATCTTGATATGACCAAATGAGGTTTTTAGATGCGAATCCTAGATGTAAGAATCTTAGTGGGCAGCGTGAGACTTTCTTAAGAGCCTTGCTCTTCATGGTCAGTTTGCATTCCAGGAAGTCTATCCTCTCATGCTCTAAAGGCCTCATTGCCTCGTGTGGCGG